AATATCTCGTGTCTCCTAAGTGGTTCTCCAGACTTTACTAAGGAGCAGATGATCAGAGCCTCTAGAAGGAAGGAGCTCCCGTTTTACCGTCTTGCAAGAACTCATAGAAGCTGAGAATGGAGGGTGGTGCCAATTGCTGCAGAGAAGGATTCCCGTAGAGAATGATAGATTTGAGGCTGGCTGGTTTCAGAAATGATAGGGACCGAGGATTGCTATACATCTCCTGCTGCCCCCTCTTAAAATGGGTGTGTTGACTGCGTTTTTCCCCTGTGTCTCAGCGTTGTGTGCTTGGTGTGTGTGAGGCAGATCATGTCCCTTTAGCGCTCACATTGAAAGGAACTGCACCTGAGGATTTATACGCATCGACTTCGTGAGCACCAGGTCCTGGTTTAGATAATGAGATGCTGGACATCATTCCTGAGCCTGTTTTTTTGTGATTGTACGACGCTTGGGAATTCTTTAGAGAGACGTTAGTGTTTTTGGTACGTGGGAAGTGTGAAGTCACTGGGGCCTGAGGGTGGAACAGTAGGTAGTGGCCAAGGATGACTTCCCAAGAACCATAAGTCAGAAGACCCATGCCCTGTGTAGCCTCCTCCCCATGATTTTGGCTGTCTCTTTTTTTTTTTCCCTCGGGTTGTTTTCCTTCCATTTTTATTGAGATATAATTGACACACAGCACTGTGTAAGTTTCAGGTGTACAACATAATACATCATGAAATGATTACCACAATTAGCTTAGTAAGCATCCATTATTTTGGCTGTCTCTCTCTTTTTTTTTTTTTTGCGGTACGCGGGCCTCTCACTGTTGTGGCCTCTCCCGTCGCGGAGCACAGGCTCCGGATGCGCAGGCCCAGCGGCCATGGCTCACGGGCCCAGCCGCTCCGTGGCATGTGGGATCTTCCCGGTCTGGGGCATGAACCCGCGTCCCCTGCATCGGCAGGCGGACTCTCAACCACTGTGCCACCAGGGAAGCCCTTGGCTGTCTCTTTGACTTGCCTTTGAACAATAGGATGTGATGGGGGTGGCACTGCCTGACTCCCGGGGCTAGGTCCTATTATATCTTGTACCTTCTGCTTCACTGGTGGAAGCCAGTCACTGAGTCCAAAACCCCTGAGGCCTCCATGATTGAGGCCATCTAAGATAGCCATGCAGGTTTTGTAAGAAAGAAATAACTAGCCTACCCTTAGCTGTTTTAGCCACCCCAAATGAAATGTCAGACATGAGGAAAGCATCCATCTGCTAGCCCAGACCAGGAGATCCTTCAGAAAACTCTATGCCCCATCATGATCTGATTAAAGCTGCATGATACGGTACCCATATGAGTGGGGGTAAACCTGCAAAACTGGGTGAGATAATAAATTATTGCTTTAAATCAATATGTTTGGGGGAGATTTGTTATTCTGCAGTGGTTAACTGGAACAACATCAAGACCAGAGTCTGGTCACTGCATCCATGTTTACAAATTTTGCTTGTTCCGATAACAAATTCTTCCCTCCCTGGTCTAAAAGCCTGATAATTCATTTCCAAAATGTAAGCCCCAGGTGTCCGCCCACATAAATTGCAAAAATCTTGCAATTTTTGGATACAAGGGAAAGGATTCTTTGAGGGCAATTTTCTGTGCCCCGACTCTTCCTTGGATTAAAAGTTTCAAATTCTGACCTTGTCATTTTCTTTCTTTAATTTCTCCAGTGCACCTTGCACAAAGCGAGGCAGTGTCAATTAACAATAAACATCTTGGGCTTCCCTGGTGGCGCAGTGGTTGAGAGTCCGCCTGCCGATGCAGGGGACGCGGGTTCGTGCCCCGGTCCGGGAAGATCCCACATGCCGCGGAGCGGCTGGGCCCGTGAGCCATGGCCGCTGAGCCTGCGTGTCCGGAGCCTGTGTTCCGCAGTGGGAGAGGCCACAACAGTGAGAGGTCCGCGTACCGCAAAAAAAAAAAAAAAAACAAAAAAAAACCCACAAAAAAACCCAAAACAATAAACATCCTTAGAATGAAGGAAGAATTAAGAAATTTCACCTGATTTTAAAAGAATCTGTGTGAAGCACTGTTGTTTTTAAAAAAATTATTTTATTGAAATATAGTTGATTTACAATGTTGTGTTAATTTATGCTGTACGGCAAAGTGATTCAGTTATACATACATATACATTCTTTTTCATATTCTTTCCCATTATGGGTTATCACAGGATATTGAATATAGTTCCTTGTGCTGTACAGTAGGACCTTGTTGTTTATCCATTCTATGTATAATAGTTTGCATCTGCTAATCCCAAACTCCCAGTCTATCCTTCTCCTATCCCTCTCCCACTTGGCAATCACAGGTCTGTTCTCTATGTCTGTGAGTCTATTTCTGTTTCGTAGATAAAGTTCATTTGTGTCGTATTTTATTTTATTTTTATTTTTTATTTTTTTGGCTGTGTCATGTCTTAGCTGTGGCACGCAGGCTTCTCTCTAGTTGTGACACGCGGGTTTTTCTCTCTCTAGTTGTTGTGCTCGGGCTCCAGAGAGCATGGGCTCTGTAGTTTGCGGCACGCAGGCTCTCTGGTTGAGATGCGAGAGCTCAGCAGTTTTGGCATGGGGCCTTAGTTGCCCCATGGCGTGTGGGATCTTAGTTCCCCTACCAGGGATCAAACCCACGTCCCCCGCATTGGAAGGCGGATTCTTTACCACTGGACCACCAGGGAAGTCCCATTTGTGTCATATTTTAGATTCCACATGTAAGTGATATCATATGCTTTTTGTCTTTTTCTGACTTACTTCACTTAGTATGATGATCTCTAGGTCCATCCATGTTGCTGCAAATGGCATTATTTCATTCTTTTTTATGGCTGAGTAGTATTCCATTGTATATATGTACCACATCTTCTTTATCTATTCATCTGTCAATGGACATTTAGGTTGTTTCCATATCTTGGCTATTGTGAATCGTGCTGCTTTGAACATAGGGGTGCATGTATCTTTTTGGATTATACTTTTATCTGGATATATGCCCAGGAGTGGGATTGCTGGGTCATATGGCAACTCTATTCTTAGTGTTTTGAAGAACCTCCAAACGGTTTTCCATAGCGGGTGCACCAAATTACATTCCCACCAACAGTGTCGGAGGGTTCCCTTTTCTCCACACCCTCTCCAACATTTGTTATTTGTAGACTTTTTTTTTTTTGGGCTGCGTTGGGTCTTCATTGCTGCGCGTGGGCTTTTTCTAGTTGTGGCGAGTGGGGGCTACTCTTTGTTAACGGTGCAGGGACTTCTCATTGTGGTGGCTTCTCTTGTTGCAGAGCATGGGCTCTAGGTGCGGGGGCTTCAGTAGTTGCAGCACACGGGCTCAGTAGTTGTGGCACGTGGGCCCTAGGGCACGTGGGCTTCAGTAGTTGCGGCGTATGTGCTCAGTAGTTGCAGTGCATGTGCTCAGTAGTTGCGGTGTGCAGGCTCTAGGGCACATGGGCTTCGGTTGTTGTGGTGTGCAGGCTCAGTAGTTGTGGCTTGCAAGCTCTGGAGTGCAGGCTCAGTAGCTGTGGTGCATGGGCTTCGTTGCTCCACAGATGTGGGATCATCCTGGACCAGTGCTCGAACCCATGTCTCCTGCATTGGCAGGTGGATTCTCAACCACTGCGCCACCAGGGAAGTCCCTGGAGAAATGTCTATTTAGGTCTTCTGCCTGTTTTTCAATTGTGTTGTTTGTTTGTTTTTTGTTATTGAGTTGTATGAACTGTTCGTATATCTTGGAAATTAAGCCCTTGTTGGTTGCATCATTTGCAAATACTTTCTCCCAGTCTGTAGGTTGCTGTTTTGTCTTGTTTATGGTTTCCTTTGCAGTGCAAAACTTGTAAGTTTGATTAAGTCACATTTATTTATTTTTGCTTTTGTTTCTATTGCCTTGGGAGACTGACCTAAGAAAACATAGGTACAATTTATGTCAGAGAGTGTTTTGCCTATGTTCTCCTCCGGGAGTTTTATGATGTTATGTCTTATGTTTAAGTCTTTAAGCCATTTTGTGTTTATTTTTGTGTATTGTGTGAGAGTGTGTTCTAACTTCCTTGATTTACATTTGGCTGACCAACTTTCTCAACACCATTTGCTGGAGAGGCTGTCTTTTCTCCATTGTATATTCTTGCTTCCTTTGTTGAAGATTAATTGACTGTAGGTGTGTGGGTTTATTTCTGGGCTCTCTGTTCTGTTCCATTGATCCATATGCTAGTACCACAGTGTTTTGATTACTATAGCTTTGTAGTATTGTCTGAAGTCTGGGAGGGTTATGCCTCCTGCTTTGTTCTTTTTCCTCAGGATTGCTTTGGCAGTTCTGGGTCTCTTATGGTTCCATATAAATTTTAGGATTATTTGTTCTAGTTCTGTGAAAAATATCATGGGTAATTTGATAGGGATTGCATTAAATCTGTGGATTGCTTTGGGTAGTATGGCCATTTTAATGATATTAATTCTTCCAATCCAAGAGTATGGGATATCGTTCCATTTCTTTGAATCATCTTTGATTTCTTTTATATCTTTTAAACATTCTCCTTTTTAATTTTTTAATCAAAGTATATGTCTCTTCCTTTAAATAAACAGAACCACATAAGAAGAAAAAGTGATTCAGAGTTATTCATAAATCTGACTCTCTGAAAAACTATGGAAGTGGCAAGTAGAATACTCCCTAAGGAAAGGATGGTTTCCTTTATTAAGTTTTACAGTTCTCAACATATAAGTCTTTCAGCTCCTTGGTCAGGTTTATTCCTAAGTAGTTTTTTTCTTTTGATGTGATTTTAAAGGGGATAATTTTTTTTTTACATTCCCTTTCTGATATTTCATTGTTAGTGTAAACATCAGCTCAGTGCTTTGTGACCGCCTGGAGGGGTGGGATAGGGATGGTGGGAGGGAGGGAGATGCAAGAGGGAAGAGATATGGGAACATATGTATATGTATAACTGATTCACTTTGTTATAAAGCAGAAAGTAACACACCATTGTAAAGCAATTATAGTCAATAAAGATGTAAAAAAAAAAAGAAATGCAACCAATTTCTTTTTTTTTTCTTTTTTTTTTAAAGATATTTTCACTTTTATTTTTAAAAGGTACATAAAGGAGGGTCCAAAGGAAGTCTCCAAATGAGACCAACTAACTCCCAAATATGTGTGTAACTATCAAAATTTCTGAGGTCAGCAATTAAATATTTGCTTTAAACTTTCTATTAAAGTAGAACAAAAAAAAACCACAGCACAACTTCTATAGGGATATCAGGATAGTTATAGCAGTAAATCTGGCTTGATGTAAACGTGACTATTATCATATTTTCTCCTATTCCTGGGGAGACAGAGATGCAACCGATTTCTGTATGTTAATCTTGTATCCTGCTACCTTGCTGAATTTGTTTATCAGTTCTAGTAGTTTTTATGAATTTCACCTGATTTCCCTCAAATTACAAAGTTTCTTCCCCATATCACCAATTATAGCTTTGTGTATATAGACAGATGCCTTATATCTTGGTTTAGTTGTCTGAAATGGGGGAAGGGTTTTGGTTCAGTGTCTGGCATATAGTAGGTACTATATAAGGATATTTTTACTAATGTCTTTGCAGACATTTCAGTGACCCTGTCCCTTACTCCTTGTGTCAGAGAAATAGCTATGCTTTTAGATTCCTTGATCTTTTCTATAGTACTTTCACACCCCTCTTGGTGATGACCACTTACTCTTTTTTCCCCCAAAGCAAGAACCAAACCCTGTTAAGTTTTCAGAAGTTTTAATGATCAAGTTTTGGGGAAGGGTGAGGAGGAGCCAATCTGTTAGCGAACTCTGGGAGTCACATGGTCACTTAGATGGAGGGACCTCCTTGATAATGGGTAGTCTGGTCACATCCCTCTTTAGCAGACACACACTGAGGACAGGGAGACATCTCTCCACACTTGCACAAACTTCACAGATTGTGGTGGGAGTCGATGGGCAAGGCTATAATATTTTTGGCCATTTACCGTTACCTGGAAGGGAAAATGGGTCAGAAATACGGTATGCCACCAAACAAACTTTCAGTCTTCCTTTCTACTTCTGCCCTAGTACACACACTATCCACTCAGAAAACCCCTATTCAAACTTCAAAACCCAGTAGATATGCTTCTTTTTATAGGCTAACTTTTGGGACTATTTTGGAGACTTGTTCTCTTTGTTTTCTGTATTTCTCTTATTCCTCCAGGGAGGTTCTACCACTCTCTGTTGCACGGTCTATATTTGCGTGGCCTTTCCTCTAGCTTAGAAGCTTCTCATGGGCAAGAACTGTGTCTCACGAATCTTGACTCCCTGTCTCTTGCACAGAGCATCACAGGCTAAGGGGTTGGTAAGTGTTCACTGAATGCATACACTTCAGTTCTGCAAACTTTGTTGCCATTTACTCTGATCACCCAGTTTTTTCTTTGAGTACCTTAGATTTGGGGTGACGGTGGTGAAGAATGAAACTCAAGTGGTCTTAAAGAGGTAGAATAGTACAGATGGTTTAAAAATAGGATATTATTTTAACAGCTTATAGACATATGAAAAGATGCTCTACCTCAGTCTTAAAAAATATTATTTTTTTTGCCTAGCCATTTAAAAAGGGCAGAATATTTGAACATATTCTTTATTGGTGAGACTCTTCAGAAGCAGTCATTTTTTGGGTGTTAGTTTGTCATATTTAAAATTCATATGGTTTTTGAACCAGTTATTCCTCCAATGTAAGTATTGGGAGGTTGATAATGACAAAAGTGTGGTACAGAAACCTTACTGCAGCATCATTCTTGAGAGCAAAATATTGGAAACAACCTAAATGTGCATTAATAAGGGTCAAGTTAAATCATTTTTGGTAATCCTTCTATTGGAATGTTATGCAAACATTAAATTATGAAATGTCATGGATTTAAGATATATTCTTATTTATTTATTTATTTTTGGCTGTGTTGGGTCTTCGTTTCTGTGCATGGGCTTTCTCTAGTTGCGGTGAGAGGGGGCCACTCTTCATCGCAGCGCGCGGGCCTCTCACTGTCGCGGCCTCTCTTGTTGCGGAGCACAAGCTCCAGACGCGCAGGCTCAGTAGTTGTGGCTCACGGGCCCAGTTGCTCCACAGCGTGTGGGATCTTCCCAGACCAGGGCTCGAACCCGTGTCCCCTGCATTAGCAGGCAGATTCTCAACCACTGCGCCACCATGGAAGCCCCTAAGATATATTCTTAAATCACAAATAAACTCTAGTCTTCATGGTGTGATATATAGAGAAACTCATAACACCTTTTCTTTAAAAAAAAAAGTATGTGTATATATATATATATATATATGTATAAAAAATGGATAAAAGTATATATTTTTATCCATTAATAAAAGTATATATTTTTTAATATATAAAGGGGTAGATAGTTAGATGTACTTGTATAAGCATATAGTACCTCTGGAATGAGTGTAAAGAAACTAGTAACAGTTGTCCTGGTTTGAGAGTGAGAGAAAGACTTATATTGGATGGATTAAAATTACTCATATGCATATCTTAACTATTTAGTGACATGAAAATTCAAATAATAAGAGCATAGGTAGAAATGATAACTATGGGTGAAGTCAGAGCAAATTCTCCACCTTGAGGGAAGTGGCAGGTAAGCTGATCTTGACCCTGGTTCGATTTGGGAAAAGACCTGAGGATGGCGGTACAAGCAGAGGGTGCTTTGTAATTAAAGGGGCAGGAGTAGTTATGGGAGATGGACCCTGAAGGACACTTGGGGCAAGGCCAGGGAGAGCTGTGTCCTCCTCTGAGAGCTTGTAGAGGCCATGGAATGGATGGTTCCTGGGTGCACTTACCTGGTACTCATTTTGCAGCACCGAGATGTGCAGTTCAAATGGTTGGCCATCCACACAGGGCATTCCAGAGGATGCCACCTCACAGTTCCAGCTCCCATTCTGACGGTTGTTTATCTTCACAGATATGCCAAAGTACGCTTGGAAATGGAAGGCAACGTCTGAGTTCTCGTCAGTCCCAGTGTGGAAATCCACCTGCATTTCTGTGTTCTTGCTGATGGGCAAGCACATAGCATGTTGAATAGGCCTCTTCTTGTGGGGGAACCCACATTTGACACACACACACACATTCTTTCCCGATTCCTCCCTGGTAGGAGGAAGGCCTTCCTGGCGGATACTGTAATCCTTGTTCCTGTGGGCCTCCTTCAGCTTACCCTGCCCAGGATAGCAGGATGCCCTGTTCCTTGGCCCAGGATTCAAATTGAGCAGCAGTCACTGGCCTGGGGCTACTGGTTCTTTATCTGCTGGAAGTCCTATGCCCCTTGATGAAGAGCCAAAGCCCTGACCCCTTTTCTCAGACCCCAAGACCTGCCAACAGTTCTGCAACTGCAGGCATAATGCCTGGTACTGCAGGGGTCTCCAGGACCTGCATATGCATTGTGCTACCATTATGCTATTTACATGTTTTAACATCACTCATACATGAAGTGACCTGCCCGCCCCCATACTCTTAATATTCTCACTTCTCCTTCACCTCCCCACCCATGGGCTATAGAGTACCCACCTGAAAGATATGTCAGGTTTCCCTCTGATTGTCACTGAAGAACCAATAGACAAGGACACACGCCATGTGTACAGGACCTGCCATGGGGAGACAAGAGTGGATGAGGGGCAAGGCCAGGTGTGGGCTCCCCTCCTACAGCGGTTCCCAGGGGTGCAGCAGGTTACACATCAAAGAACAAACTCTGAGGGCCCCAATCTCCCCACTTCACGAGAGTCAGGTCCCTGTGTCCTTGAAGAGATGAGAGGATCATAGTTAAGAGCAAGGGTTCAAGAGCCAGGCTGCCTGGATTCGAATCCTGATTCTGCCCCTTACGAGCAGTGAGACCTTAGATCTGTTACTTGAACTCTCCCTGCCTCAGTTTGCTTGGTACAAGGAGGATTATCAGAAATTCCCACTTCATAGGGTGTTCTCAGGAATACATGAGCAAAACCTTTAGCCTAATCACTGGCACATGCAGGGTCCATACAGGGGCGACCTGTCAGAAGGGGGAGGACCCTTTCAGGAATACTGCCTGCAATTATTTTCTACCATCTGAAACTCTGAAGACAAGACTTGAGGATATAAAAATATGAAAGTGTAAAAATTCACTCCAGGGAAAAACATTTGTTTAAAGAGAGGGGGACGTAATAATGGAAAAGGAAACCCCTGTGTGTGGGATGTAGATGTATACGCATCGGAATCATCAAGGGGAATGCATGTCCTTTCAAGAACGTATACAGCGTTGTTGAGAACACAGTCAGTACTTGTACAAAGGGTGTGGGACAGGAAAGTAATTGGGGAGAATCTGCAAGTTGTTGACTGAAATCTGCTGTAAACTGTCTGGACTGAGGCTGAACGTGTTCCTTCCAGCTTCAGGTGATTTGATTCTCTGGAACCAAGTCTCCCAACAGCTTTCCCCTGGGGTCCAGGATCTGCTCACCCTCCTCCTGTGAGGCAATGGGAAGGGCTGACTTGGGGAGGATACCTGAGGTGGAGCTGTGTGTGCACCCAGACTGGAGATGCAGCGCCCTACAGTCTGAGGTCACCTTCTCTCACTCTTCTCGAGAAGAGGCATCTAAGGAATCACTCCTTCTGCTCTCATCAATGCTCAGAGGTGAGTTCTGGGTAACTCACAGGCCACAAGGCCACCACTTCTGCCAACCAGGATCCACACTGATACACATGGGAAGACCCACAGTCATTTAAACAGTCACTGCTGTGTAGGGGAGAACCCTCACATGCAGACAAATCCACACACATATTCACCGATCGACACCCAGTCACAGATTCTCACACACACACATTCACATATAGTCACACAAAGACATGCAGTTCGTCATGTCACACATACCTCCCTACATTCTTACTCACTGTAACATGCACTGGTGTGCTGTAGTCACACACTCAGAGCCATGAAGACAAATGCACAGCCTCACCTCCTTGCACTTATGCACACACTCCCTCATCCCCTCCTCTGACTGAAGACTCTAGTGCCTTCTGCTAGAAGGCTATGTCTTCAGCCTTCTTGTTTGTTACTATTCCCAAAGTAAGAAAAAAATTAATAGCTATAAGAGGAGACCTTGAGACCATAAGGTTACAGCTGGCAGCAGACACTGCTTTGAGAACAACTGGTGTCATCCTGAGTCTGACACAGTTCAGGAAATTCAGGTTCTCAGCAAAACAGGAATGGGTCTAAAATCACATCCACAATGGCCGTCCAGCTCCATCTTGGATGCCTGAACCATGGTCACTCCATTTTGACTTTTAAATGCATTTTCGTGTTCAATGGCCAAAGCAGATGTACAGTGGATGTTCAATAGGTCACAAAACAGGCCACTCTGGTCAGCATACAGTTCAAGTTATATCATGTAAAAGCCAGAATGACGTTGCCATCCCTCAGTATGTGAAAAGTTCCTCTATCATTTTCCCTTTTGTCTGCAAATCTTTTGATAGAGCAAAATATTTGTCCCTCAATGCCAGGTTGGTGGCTGCTGGCCCTGGGTCCACCATGTCCTTTGGTGCTAGGCCTCCTTTTTCTTCATATATATATTTGCCTAGTTATCCACATTGGGGGAAGACTAATCAGACGTAGTGAACAAGCTCAGAGATATGCTAATGGGGAAACATTTCATAGGCTATTCCTTTTATAAATTATATCGAACTGTTGCACAAACATTGTACATGTGCTTTTAACAGCACACCTGAAGCAAGCAGTGATGCATGTCATGAGTAATTACAGTCTTTGACAACTTCCCCAGAGAATTTTCTTTCCATCCTAAACATTAGGGGCATAGTATGGTTAGAGGTAAAGCAATGACTTTCAGTGTAGATAGGGAGACAAACATTTGGTAAAGAGTTCAGTTAAATTAGTAGAATGACTCTTAAAGGCTGGGTCCAGATTTTTGGGTCAGCTGCCTACCACTGCTGTTGTCTTTTTCTCGTCCTAGTGTGGGTGTCATTTGGGGTCAGCAGTCCTGTCTGTAGACCAGTCCACTGCAGAGGCTCTTCTTACATGGGAAATATGAATTCAGGAGTCAGTTGCCTTCAGTTTCGCTGTGTGTGAGCTAGTTAAGAATACTTGGTATGGGTCCTTTTATCTAGGTTGGCGACAGTTCTTTTAGTGATACCTTTTCCAGGAATTCCCTGGCGGTCCAGTGGTTAGGACTCCGTGCTTCCACTGCTGGGGTCACGGGTTTGATCTCTAGTGGGGAAACTAAGATCCTGAATGCCACGTGATATGGCCAAAAAAGGAAAAAAAGTCATAAATGATGCCTTTTCCAGTATGCATAATGTGGTTGCAGGTCATGAGGCATCTGATTTTTTTTTTTTTTTGCGGTATGTGGGCCTCTCACTGTTGTGGCCTCTCCCATTGCGGAGCACAGGCTCCAGACGCGCAGGCTCAGCGGCCATGGCTCACGGGCCCAGCCGCTCTGCGGCATGTGGGATCTTCCCGGACCGGGGCACGAACCCGTGTCCCCTGCATCGGCAGGCGGACTCTCAACCACTGCGCCACCAGGGAAGCCCAAGGCATCTGATTTTTATCCAGGATGGATTGCTGTGATAAGCTTCAGAAAGAAACTTAGAGTGTCCTTTCAGTATTTCAATTACACTTTACAATAATGTAACACAACACTAAGGAGCTACCTGGAAGGTGAGTCTTAGATACTAGACACAGACCTCAGACTTTCCTCGTGGTGCAGTGGTTAAGAATCTGCCTGGCAGTGCACGGGACACAGGTTTGAGCCCTGGTCAGGGAAGATTGCACATGCCGCGGAGCAGCTAACCCCACGCTCTACTGAGCCTGCGCTCTAGAGCCTGCGAGCCACAACTACTGAGCCTGAGCACCACATCTACTGAAGCCTGTGCACATAGAGCCCGTTCTCCACAACAAGAGAAGCCACCGCAATTAGAAGCCCACACACTGCAACAAAGAGTAGCCCCTGCTCACTGTAACTAGAGAGAGCCCATGCAGCAACGAAGACCCAACGCAGCCAAAAATAAATAAATTAAATAAATAAATTTAAAAAAAAGACCCTATAAAAAAATAAATACAGACCTCAGTTAACAAAACTAGAATTTAATATCCACTGAAACATAATGTTCTTCTCTCTAAAATTATCCTCATTTTAATCAAATATAACCACATTAAGACTAACTGGTTTGAAAAATAAGTCTGGTTTCAATAAACTTGTCCTGATTTTCACATAAGTGTAGTTGATGACACGGGCTCTTTTAAATTAGCTGTGCTTTAACTTTTTTATGAGGAACCTCAGATTGTGCTCTTAAAAGGATTCTCAAGGCCAGAAGAGCCATGCCAAGGGCTTGCCACAGATTTTGCCTGCACTGTCTATAGATTTGGATGAATTCTTCGCTTCTTGAGGTCTTCACAATATCTTGAGATTCCTGCACCTGTCAGGAGGTGACCTTCCTTATTCACTCTGCTGGGAACCTAAGAGTTTCCAGTTTCTAAAGGGATCAATAGAGAGAAAAGACTGATCTTTCAACTCTGCTCACAAAGGTATAATTTACCAAGTTGCAGTAAATCATAATTAGCTTGAGGCTAAAGGTTTCCTTATATCTGGAAAACACAGATTAAAAGCCAGTAATAGGGCTTCCCTGGTGGCGCAGTGGTTAAGAATCTGCCTGCTAATGGAGGGAACACAGGTTCGAGCCCTGGTCCGGGAAGATCCCACATGCGGCGGAGCAACTAAGCCAATGCGCCACAACTACTGAGCCTGTGCTTTAGAGCCATGAGCCACAACTACTGAGCCTGTGCTCTAGAACCCACGTGCCATGGCTACTGAGGCCCGTGTGCCTAGAGCCCGTGCTCTGCAACAAGAGAAGCCACCGCAATGAGAAGCCCGCTCACCACGACAAAGAGTAGCCCCCGCTCTCTGCAACTAGAGGGAGCCCTCGCGCAGCAACGAAGGCCCAACACAGTCAAAAATAAAACAAATTTATTTTTTAAAAAGCCAGTAATATTTAAGATAAAACCCATAAAAATTACAACCATATTCACCACTTCACTCAGTCCTGTGTAACTAATTCCTTTCTGTTAAGAGTTTTATGAAGCCATCAGGGTTTCCATTAGAATTAATCAATTTCTTATCTAGTTCAGCAGTATTTTCTGAAGTATATCATAAACCTGTATTTGTCAAAAATTCCTTTTTATGAACCTTGAGGACGAAGCTTTTTTGGGAAAAAAACAGTAAAACAATAACTGTCTAAATGACAAAAGACTTTAAAAGGCATACTTAAAGATCTGATTACAATGCAATTGAAAAAGAAACTTGGTTATTGCTGTGACATATAATATTTTAACTAGAGTTATGACTAATACCATTATACCAGGACATATAAGATTTTTAAAGAAATTTCATGTAAGTTCTAGAATGTATATAACATTTAACCATAGAGTATAACCTAAGAAGGCTTGTCACTCATTGGACAATTCTTCCCATATAATTTAACATACCAAATAATCCTAGTGAGTTTAACATCTCTGTAAGAGATGCTTCAGGGTTCCTCTTTTTTTTTTTGATTTTTGGCTGCGTTGGCTCTTCGTTGCTGTGCGCGGGCTTTTCTCTAGCTGCGGAGAGTGGGGGCTACTCTTTGTTGCGGTGCACGGGCCTCTCATTGCAGTGGCTTCTCTCGTTATGGAGCACAGGCTCTAGGTGCATGGGCT